GCCCCCCCCCCCCCCCCCCGGCCGGCCGGAGGGGGGGGCGGCCGGAGGCTTTTTTGCCTGGGGCGGCAAAAAAGCCAGAGCCGGCCCTGTTCAGAACATCACAGTGTTTGTGGCTTCTGAGGATAAATGCAGTGGGTTTAAAATAACATTTTTTCCATTTAATAGTGGGGTGTTTTTCAGTGGCCAGCTGAATCATGAGTGGGAAAGATGTGGCCAAGACTATGAAAATGTTTGAGAACTCCCGCCTTAGATACATTTATAAAATATTATCTGTCATCTGCAGTCAGATAAGAAACTTCTTTTAGCAAAGTGATTTTCCAGTTTCTTAATTCTCAGCTCAACTTCCTGAGCTGTTACTCTCCAATATCCTATAGAGAAGATCTATAGAAGTTATTTCATGAAGAGGAAAACTATATTACTTACCAGCAGCTGGAGTTCTCCAGGTACCTCTGTAACGAATCTCCACAAATTGAATTTAATGTTCAATTGGTACACTGACTCTTTAAAAAGAAAGTTCTTTCCTCAAGCATGCAGAAAGAATAGTCAGTGTCCCTTGAGATCAAAGAGAGTGTCATCTTGTGGCCCTTGATTCAGTTAAAGACTTAATCACATGTTTAAGTCCATCACTGTTCCCTTGCTTAAGTCCCATTGACTTAAAGTTAAGCACATGCTTAATGCTGTCCTGAATTGGGCTAATACTCATATAACCTCACTACTAACCTTTTGCCACAAGTTAATGGATCTTTATATTGGATTATTGTGGTTCCTGCAGATGAAACCTGAAGACGATATTGGTAGGTGCAAGTAGCATAACTTGTACCAGAGCTTGCAGTCTGCCTTTTTAAAAAGTAGCAATGGCTTCTCAGCATTCACACATCATAGAGTGTGGATCTAAAGGAGCTAGTGATTAAGACCCTGATCTTGCAGACACTTAAGCATGTCAATTAGTCCTATTGACTTCTATAGGGTTACTCAGGTAAGCAGAGTTACACACATGCTTAAGTGTTTTGTAGGATTAGGGCCTAAGAAGCCACCAATGTCTTGAAAGCAACCTGATTATTTTCAGTGCAAGACACAACAAATATATTACTATGTAGGAGTTGGGACACAGCAATCTTAAACTTGAATATTAAGTATCTTTTATTTACGGTAATTCTCTTTGACTGTGACTCTGTACTGCACTTTTTACTATGGAGTAACCTTACAGTGAGATGTTTCCTAGACAGCATTATGTTTAGCATCAGTATTTGCTCCCTATCCTCTGCCTCTTCTCTAAAAATTAATTTTAAAAATGTGCTTCAAAATAAGATCCTCAATAAATTTTGGTATGGACTGCATTTCTCCATCTTAATGGAAAATAAATATATTATTTTGTTTTGCTTTACATTCTAGATACCGTACTCTTCAGCATCTCCTGGGAATTATGTAGTAAGTACCCTTGTGTGTGTTTGCTCATTAGAATTGATGTTACATGTTATTTAGGCACAGAAATAGTTGTCCAGATGTTAAGAAGAACCCTTGTGTATTGGTTGAGAAGTGAACATCTGATCTGTGTTTAGTTGTTTTGTCAGCCATCTACAGCACATATGTTGGTGTTCATTACTAGAACAGTTATCAGTCTGGTCAAAATTGCCTTGAGTGCTGTGGTTTACTTCAGCATATGTTTCTGTAACCAATGCAATACTTCAATACTTCAGTACTAAAGGAGAAAAAAACAGCCTTTTTTTGGTGACACAATAATATGCTTGAATTTTTGAAGCTCTGGAGAAAAAAATTAATTGGAAGAACTAGAAAAGCTTAAACCTCCCAAAAGATATATAGCACATCACTTAAAAAGACACTCACAGCTAATGTTTTATGGGACATTTTTACTCTCTGTTGCTTATAATTACCTCCTGAAGGCCTGAAAACTCCTTTTTTCAACAACTACCTGAGTGCTACCCTGTCAGCTGCTGGGTCCCGATCACTGAGAGCTACAAGGGATAAAACAACCACTATGTCATACTCCTCAAGGTCCTAGTCACCGAAAGCTTTGGGGGATGAGAGGTCTACAACTGTACTTGTGGGACTGATAGCCTTGCACTCAAAGCTGACAAGTACCATCAAGAGGAGCATGACCATTAGATCTCCCTTAAAGACATCTCAGTCCTTGTAGACCTTAGACCCCAAAATGAGTGTTACTGGGGCTCCAAGTGTGTCCTGTACCATAAAGGTGTCTAAGGCTTCTAAGAGCCATGCCTCTTCCAAACAAGACCCAGTACTGAAGACCTTCTCTGTTACAGGTCACAGCCATATTAGCAGACATTCTACGATGAAGAGATCAACACCATTTGGCTCTCTGGTGCACTCAGTACCTGCTTCGATACCCTGGTCTGCATCTCCTGAATAAATGTTTGTGTAGGCTCACCTTATGGCACATACTAGCCAGATACCCACCTTGGTACTGATATCAACCTCCATCATTCCTGTGGTACCACAGGAGTTCTGGTACTCAAGAGACCTCTTTGTACCTAATGAACCAGAGTCTTCCCTACTGTCTGCTTCTGCACATCCTTCAGTACCTATATCCTCTGGGTCACTGAAGGCACTTTTCTCATCAAGACCTCCCCGATTCCCTGACTTCTGCCATCCAGGGAGAAGTCAGTCCATGGAATATATTGAAGGATATTCTCACTCTGACTCATAACTCTGTGTTCAGGAATCTCCTGTTTATTCAATGGGACATTATTCTTCTCCACATGTGGAGAGAAGGGAGGAGAGGCGACCTCAACCTCCAGCCACCTGAGGTGACCAACTGTGGCTACCTCTTCCTCCTATGTGGTCCATCTCAGTGGCCTTATTGGGCTCCATGGACCCTGTACTGTCAACAACTTCTGACGGGGGAAGGGAGAAGTTCACTCTGCAGTGAGCATAGAAACTCTTGCTCTTCCTTACCTTCACTTCCTCCTCCACTTGAAGAACAAGAGGTGTAAGGGCGGGCTGATAAGGAAGTAACACCTCATGTGAATATTTCATTGTCATCATTAGATGAGGCTGTAATGCCTCCACCACCTTCCATAGCACATGACATTATACAATTCCAGGACTTGAAGAAGTGAATTGTGGATAGGCTTCAGAATTCTTGTGAAGAAGTCCAGGGCCCCCATCATGAACTCCTGAACATTTTACACTTTTCAGCTTAGTCATGCATGCCACTCCCAGTTAATGAGGCTCTTTGGAGCCAGACAGGACCATCTGGCAGACTTGGGCTGTGGCACCCCCAACTTGCAAATGTGCTGACAAGAAATGCATGTCCCAGAGGAGAATTCAGAATTTTTATTTTCACCTCCCTCACTGAATTCCTTGGTTGTGGATGCAGTTAATGAGTGCAGGAGGCAACACAACACAAAAACTACCCCATAAAATAAAGACCAGAAGAGATCTATACTCCTGCAAATAAGAAAAATATAGCAGGTCTCAAACAGTGCAGAGGTCATGCCCAGCTCATTTTTCTAGTTTCCGTAGACCTGAACCACAAGCTGAGACCGAGGTATTCAAAGAAGAAAACATCTACTACAACCACTACATCGCAGCCACCAGCATTGTCCAAGTGTCAGTTTTGATGACTTGGTCAAGAGTCTAAACCACCCATTTCACACAAATCTACTGCTGCACTAACCAACCCTCTTCCCTGCCATTGGATTCTGCCTCTCCCATTTTCAAGGCTCCTGTGAGAGAATAACATCCAACAAATGGATTTTGAAGCTTGTAACATCTGACTATTCCATCCATTTCACCTCCATCTGTCCCTCCCACCCCGTTCCTTTTCAGGGACCCATCTGACGATCAGTTGCTGAATCAGAAGGTTGCCTCTCTCCTACGTTTAGGGGCCATAGAACCAGTTTCACTTCAGCACCAGGGAAAAGGATTCTATTGCAAGTAATTTCTGGTCCCCAAAAAGATTGGGGGATGGAAACCAAATTATATTTTAGACATTTCAACAACTACATGAAACAACAGAAATTCAAGATGGTGACCCTTGCAGAAAAGCAGTACATATTCCCTTTCTAGATTCCGGGGATTGGTTTGTGACACGCTATCTTCAAGACATGTATTTCTATATTGTGAGTCACCTCTCTCAAGAGATTTCTTCAATTTACAGTCAATCACAAACACTTTCAATATACTTTCAGCCTCTCCTCTGCCCCAAGGGTATTCTCAAAGGTGATGAAAGTCAGAGCCACTCGCCAATGTCCTCTAGACATTGTTGTCTTCTCTTATCTCAATGAGTGGTTACTCCGGAGCCTATCTGATCAGGAGGTCCTATCAACACTACAGATGACATGCTCCTTGTTTCACACCTGTGGTATCCAGATCAATCTAGTAAAGTCCATTTTGATCCTGGTTCAACAGATAGATTTCATAGGAGCCTTTCCAGATGCCATGATAGCCAGGGCTTACCTACCTGTGGACAGGTTTGTGGTTCTGCAGACTCTTATTGCAAAGATTCAGTTAAGTCCTCAAACTTCGGCAAGGAATTGTCTTCAGCTATTGGGCCATATGGCGGCGTGCATCTTTGTGAGCTAGCATGCCACATCCTATCTCCACTGTCTACACAACAAACAAGCACAGCCTCAACAAACAGGTCAGGTCTCTAATCCCCATCGAGTTCTACACTTGCTCACTTAGTGGAAGAACCCATCCAAAGTCTGTTTGGGAATCCTCTTCTTTCAACCTCCTCCAACCACCATTATCTGTTCAGGTATCCCTCTTGGGATGGGGAGCGTATCTTGGTCCTCACATCATCCAAGGCAAGTTTCTTCCCAAGAGAGTCACCTACATGTCAACATTCTGGAGTTGAGGCAGTCAGGAATGCTTACTCCCACTTTCTCCCACTGATCAAAGCCAAATCAGTCAAGATCATCACCTACAATGTGGCCTGCATGTTCTACATCAATCGTCAGGGTTGGACGTGTTCCCCCTCACTCTGTGCCGAAGCAGTGAAGCTCTGAAGTTGGTGCATTACCAACCACATAGCCATCTCAGCTTCTTACCTCCACTGCATACAAAACGTTACTGCCAACCACCTAAGTAGACACTTTTCTCAGTTACTACTGGGAGTTGGATTCATGAGTCCTCCAGAGTGTATTTCTAACCTGGGGACTTCCAGAGGTGGATCTTTTTGCTACTGCCACCATGTAAAGTGTAAGAAGTCTTGCTCTGGGCAAGACTCAATTCTGTGTCTGGGATGTATTCCCATGCCATTGATCTTGAAAGTTCTCAACAAGATTAAGCAGGACAAGGCCAAAATCATTTTGACTGTACCAACTTGACCAAGACAAGTTTGGTACCTTATCTGATTCAATTCACATCTTGTCTGCTGCTGAGACTTCCTCTCAATTACCACCTGTTGTCTTGGGATGCTGGTTGGACACTTCACCCCAATTTGGATGTTTTGTGACTTCAAGCATGGCTAGATGATTCTTGGGGTTAGAGATTTCCTGCTCAACGGCGGTATAACAGGTTTTGTTAAATAGCAGAAAAACATCTACTAGAAATACCTTCAGAAATGGAAGAGATTTCACCTATGGTGTATCCGTCGACAAGTGCTTCCTATCTGTTCTTCTCTTCCACCATTCTGGAATACCTGTTAGAATTAAAAAGATCAGTATGAGTTCTTCCAAGGTTCACTTGGTGACTGTAACAGCTTTTCACTCATCAGTGGAAGGTTTTTCGATTTTTGCTTACCCCATAACCTCAAGATTTCTTAAAGGTCTGATGAGTCTTTATCCATAGGTTAGAGAACCTGCCCCAGGATGGGATTTAAACCTTGTCCTAAATGGCCTTATGACATATCCCTTTGAACCGTTAGCTACATGTTTTCTAGTCCACTTCTCCATGAAAACAGCTTTCTTGGAGGGCATCACTTCCACTGGAGAGTGGGAGAATGGGGGGCTCTAATAGCAGATCCCCCCTTTACAGTATTTTTCAAGGAAAAGATTTTAAAATGGCCACATCCCAAGTTCCTACCCAAAGTGTCCTCTGAATTTCATCTTAGCCAGACCATTCATTTACTGTTTCCCCCCAAAACCACATCATTTCAAACAGGAAGCTACTTTCCATTCCTTAGATGTCAGAAGGGTGTTAGATCTTTTATCTAGACTGGACCAAGCCATTTTGAAAATCTCCCAGACTGTTTTGATTTAGGACAGATCTAAAAGTTCCTTTATTTCCACCCAAAGGCTCTCAAGGTGAATCTCTGGATGTATTATTTCATTTTATGACTCCGCCAACATCTAACCTCCTTCTAGTATTTTAGCCCATTCTACCATGTTGCAGTCTATGTCTATGACATTACTCAACGATGTTCCAGTTGCTGACATTTTCAGAGCTGCAACTAGGGCTTCAGTACATACTTTCCCCAAGAACAATGCTTTGGTTCATACCTCTAGGTCAGATTTGGCAGTGCAGTTCTGTCTTCAGTATTGGAGTCTCCTCTGAAGCTCCCACCATCCTGTTGGGATACTGTTTGTGAGTCACCTGAAATGGAGCACCCATTCGGATATTACTTGAAGAAAGAAAGGTTACTCACCGTGTGTATTAACTGGAGTTCTTTGAGACGTGTGTCCCTGTGGGTGCTCCACTACCTGCCCTCCTTCCCCTCTGTTTCGGAGTTTCCCTGGTGGGACTTTGTGGTAGCGAAGGAACTGAGGACAGTTTGCCTGTGCAGCCCTATATATTGTCACTGTGGGGCACGAGGATGTGTAGTGCACATATGCAGGCTGAATGGGCACTACTACTGATAATCTTTTATCAAAGGCGCGGGGGGCACAAGCACATCTGACATGAAGCACCCATAGGGGCACACATCTTGAAGAACTCCAGTTACTGTACGAGATGAATAACCGCTCCTTCCAGGGCCGGTGCAAGGATATTTTGCGCCCTAGGCGAAACTTCCACCTTGCGCGCCCCTCCCCCCAATAAATCACATACATTATACACAATACACGGTCACAGAGTAACATGTTATAATTTAGAATTTATGTTTCCGCGCTTTAAGTTTAGCAAATTTAGAAACAAGTTCCTCCAAGTCAATGCTGTGAGCAATGGCATGTTCCAGGGCCGCCCAGAGGATTCAGGGGGCCTGGGGCAAAGCAATTTCGGGGGCCCCTTCCATAAAAAAAAGTTGCAATACTATAGTAACATGTATTTGGAAATATAAAAAATAACTAGTAAAATACATTCAAAAATTAATTTGTAATAATTTGAAAATACACTAAATACATTATTTAAAAACATTAAAAGCTGTAATTATATGTATACATTTGCAATTACATAATGGGCTGTTGCTGGGTGATGGTGATGGTTGGTACCAATGGGCTGTCGCTGCCTGGGGGTGGTGCTGCTGTTGCCCAGGGCTGGGGGGGGGAGCTGGGCTCTGGGTTCGGGGGTGTCCGCCTCAGAGGGGCTGGGCTCGGAGCTGGGGGTCAGGGCTGTGGGGAGGATGGGGTCGGGAGGGTTCTGGCTCAGAGGGGCTGGGCTCGGAGCTGGGGGTCAGGGCTGTGGGGAGGATGGGGTCGGGGGGGTTCCGGCTCAGACAGGCTGGGCTCGGAGCTGGGGGTCAGGGCTGTGGGGGGGATGGGGTCAGGGGTGCCCGGCTCAGAGGGGCTGGGCTTGGAGCTGGGGGTCAGGGCTGTGGGGGATGGGGTCGGGGGGGTGCCCGGCCCCTTACCATGCCGCTTACCCCCTCTCCCAGGAGCCTCCGACATACTCGTGGTGGCCCCTGCGGGGCCCGGGGTCTGGGGCAAATTGCCCTACTTGCCCCCCCCACCCCGGGCAGCCCTGAACTCAGATACCGGGCATGACAGAGGCTGGAGCAGGGAGAGGGGGGCACTGGGGCAGCTCAGCTCTGCAGGCTGCCGTCCTCTCTATCTGCCCACGCACAAGGGGAGCAGGAGCAGGGACCAGCCAAGGACCAAGGGGGCAGGAGCACAGGCGCCTGAGGCCGAGCTGTGGGGAAGCGCTTACCTTGCCCAAGGCACGGGCGTCGGGGTCCTCTTTCTTCCTCTGCTCCACCAGACCGCCGCCTGAGGCTCTTTTCTGGGGCTGACCGTGGAGGCTGAGCCAGAAGCCCTGCTGTCGCGCCCATCGCCGGCCTCGTGCCACGTGCACTAAGCAGAGCCGTGGAGCTCTGCCCAGCCGTCGGCGTCCCCACCGGCAATGAGAAGAATCGCATGGGATGGAGCGGCCGCTGCGCTGGGAGGGAGAGGGAGTCTGAGCCGCCGGCAGGCGCGCGGACACAGGGGAACCCCTGGGCTGCCTGCCGACGGCTCAGACTCCCTCTCCCTGCCAGCGCAGCGGCCGCTGGAACGATGTAAAAAAATTTGGGGCGCCGCTTTTTGGTGCCCCCAAATCTGGGCGCCCTAGGCAACTGCCTAGTTGGCCTAAATGGTAGCACCGGCCCTGGCTCCTTCTGGTGCCCACAATTTTTTCCTGACAGTTTATATTTTTTGACTTTTTTAAAGGATGTTGAAAAACTGGAGCAAGTGCACCAAAAAGCCACAAAAATTATTTGAGGGTTTGAGAAAATTCCTTACAGTCAGAGACTTAATGAGTTCAGTCTGTTTAATTTATCAAAAAGAAGAGAGGTGACTTGATTACAACGTACCTTTATGGGAGAAAATACTGGGTACTAAAAGGCTCTTTCTTTTAGCAGACAAAGGCATAACAAGCAGCAGTGGCTGGAAGTTTGAAACCAAATCATAGAATATCAGGGTTGGAAGGGACCTCAGGAGGTCATCTAGTCCAACCCCCTGCTCAAAGCAGGACCAATCCCCAACTAAATCCCCAACAGATACATTCATATTTAAAAAATCGGGACACATTTTTAATAGTGAGGGTGATTAGCCATTGGAACAAACTACCAAGGGTCGTGGTGGATTCTCCATCAGTGTAAATTTTTAAATCAAGATGGGATGTTTTCCTAAAAGTTATGCTCTAGGAATTATTTTGGGAAAGTTCTAGGGCCTGCATCACATAGATCAGACTTGATGATCACAGTGGTCACTTCTGGCCAGTTAATCTACACAGGGATAACTGGTTGAAACTGAATGGCCTGTGATACACAGGAGGTCAGATTAGATGATCTGAACTCCATGAATCTATGGCATCTGTAGTGGAACAAATCTTATTAGTAGATACAGGAGGCACTCCATGGTCTTGCTCAATACACTAGTGAAGGAGAAGTGCAGGATAGTGACTGGTAGTTGGTAGGTTACATTGTCAATCATTTAAGGGGTCAGAGATGTATGTGTATGTATGTATGTATGTATGTAGATTGGTGGTATACAGGGACATATTATTATTGGATAACAGATTTGTGTTTAGATTAAAGTTATTTGTTAAATGTATTCATTAACTTGCAGCCAGCAGTATTAACCCACAAATATCTCAAGTATTTTATTTATACCAGCTCAGAGGCAGGGGCAGCAATGACTAATGCAGCATTACTGACTTCGATTATAGCATAAGCCTGGAAATAGTGTTCATGAATGCATTGCTGCTGCTTCAGAGCCAGTAAATGGTGTGTTTTGTAGGGCCAGGGGAGGCTCCAGGCACCAGTGCACCAAGCGCGTGCCTGGGGCGGCAAGCTGCGGGAGGCTGCCTGCTGGTCGCCATGAGGGCGGCAGTCAGGCTGCCTTCAGCGACATGCCTGCGGAAGGTCCGCCGGTCCCGCGGTTTCAGCTGCAATTCAGCGCCGGGTACGCCAAAGGCGCGGGACCAGCGGACCTCCCGCAGGCATGCCGCCGAATCTGCATTACCAGTGGACCTCCCGCAGGCATGCCGCCGAAGGCTGCCTGACTGCCGTACTTGAGGCGGCAAAATACACAAAGATATTTTTCAATTGTTCTAATTCCAAAACTTCCCCCCGCCTTCCAAAAATGTGTTGGTCATATTATAGCAAATCTCAGCAATGCCCCTTCAAGCAAACAGGAACAATCACACTTTGAAATCTCAGTATGCTCCATGACATGAAGTGAACAGAATGGATATTGAAACAAAATCATTCTTTTTGATAGAAAATGTGCTATTTTTAAATATCAATAAGACCTATGACAATGAAAACTACGTTCTAGTAATAGCAATTTATAGCATTTTTATTATGGAAAATTTCAGGGTTAATTTTTTATTGCATATTAGAATATTTGAATCAAAACTGTAACCAGTCAACTTTTCATTGTACTTCAAGATATTACTGTAGCTGCAAATGTGGCACAGAAGAAATTATGGTGCTGATGATGCTAAAGAATTAAGTTATTTAGAACAAAACAATAGGAGTAATTTTTTTAAAGAAAATGAAAAGAACAGCTTGTTCAATAACCAGTGCAGTCTGTTTAAATGGTTTGTTTTCACAGAAAAAATTGCAACACAGAAATACAGAAAATTAACAGAAAAAAAGAAAATAGACATTTCTTATTTTTAAATGGATTTAGCAAATACTAGATGAGCTCCCATTCTCTTTTATCTGTAATGTAATAGCAATATACCTGCAGATCTGTACTCAGATTTACCAAGCTGATCTTGTGCTGAGACTTTGTCATTAATCTCAAGTCATTTATCCTGAGTTATATGTGTACAAATATGAAAAAAAGAGAATGTGTGATGTTTTATTAACTGAATTTAGTTTATCAGGGCCTGGATCCACCAAAGTTTGAGCCACACATTCCACAGAGAGAGACTTCCACTGAACAACTCTTCTTCTCCCATGTGATCCCTGTACAGTGTGACAACAAGCAGTAGCGTATTCTGCCAGTGTTGACACTACAGTTAGCAACCTGCTGCATCACAGTCAGTGAGGAGAGAGCAATACCAGCTGGAAAATTGGCTATAGTAGAGAATCAGCTGTATATTAACACCCTTGGGCCCTGAACAAAGCATCCCTTCTGTACTCCAGTACTGGCAGACAGTAGCAGAACCCAAAGTTTTTGAGCAGTGGATCTCTCTGGATCCAGGGATCTACACATACTGGGATTCAGGGCTTGAGCCTGCAGATCCATGACACTAGCTTTAGTCTGCCATTGAGTAAATTCACTGGTTTACAGGAAAATAGACGATGGAGTACATCTTTCTTTTGTTCTATGGAAATGTGTTCCTTTTCACCAGAACAACTCACAACCTTTATGATGTGCTTTTGTCACTTGGATTATCTTCAGTCTTTACTGTAATATTTTTCCTTTTATATTAACTGAATATTTTCTACCCTTTTTAGGGTCCTCCAGGGGGTGGAGGGCCACCAGGAACACCCATCATGCCTAGTCCTGCAGGTATCCAAATCTAATCAGAACATTTAAAGACAATGTAAATAACATTCGGGGGGGGGGGGGGGAAGTAGGTAATATACAGATTCTGTATTCCAGTTCTTCCTGTGCCCATTTGCTACCAGTGCAGACAAATGGACAGATCCACCTTATATATATTTCAGCAAGCAACAGTCAGTGAAAAGCTCTCACTTTTGCACTCTTCTTCTCTGTCTCCCTTCCTCCATCCCTCCCTCCCTCCCTCCTCAGACTTCCTCCTGCTTTGCTGGAGAGATGCAGTATGGTTGGTAATTTGATTTTACTGGCTCCATCCAGGGCTCTCAAGACCATTTTTTTTTCTGGTCTCCATTAGCAACCTGAAGGAAAAAGAGAGATAAAACTGAATGTGCATTGTTTCTGCTAGTGTTGTTCAGTGCACATTTGCCAGCAACTTTTATGTATCCTGTGAGACTGTCCCCAGAGTATCCAGCTGGGGGACGCTTCAAGTGGGAGTTTAAAGGAGCGTCCCATAGCTTCAGCTCAGCCAGCTAGCTCTGCATTAAGAAGAGTAGCAAGTGTTTCCCGACATCAAGGTTCTCCAAAGTTCCTGACGTGAACGAAGAATCAGAAGAGGTTGTGGAGGGTGGACATACACAAGACTTCCTCTCCTCCCATGGATAGCATCAGGGATCTGGTAAGCAGGAAGTGTTTGCCTCTGATCTGGTGTCCCGACTTAACCGATCTTCACTAGATCAATCAGACTTCTTCTGGGAATCTTCCACTCCTAAGAAGCACATCTCCTTCTCATCCTCCTTTCATCAACCAAGAGGTCATTGATCACCACTTCTAGAGACCTTTCCATCTCTGTGACACCTTACATCTTCAGACCCACCTATTCCTACCTCCCTGCCATCATTACTTGCACAAAGGATAGGGAAGTCCTTTTTAAGAGCCAGAAGCAGAGCTTCCCAACCCTTCCATGGAAGTTTTCCTATACTGGTGGAAAAACCTCATTAAATATGTGGCTAGAATTTTAAAAACACAACCTGTAATAGAAAAAAAAGAGGATTCCTCTCCTGTTCAATACTTAAGAAGATGACTAATATGTGCTGGCAGATAAATATTCAGTGTAATGTAAAACCAAGCTCTGCAATAGCATGTACTTCTGAAAACATTCAACACAGCAGTAAATTGCCAGTGGCATATGTAAGTGGCTAATGTGGACTATGAACAAGCCTTTTGTTTTGATGGAGGAAAGAGAAGCTGTGGAATAAAAATATTCAAGTAAGAGCCACCAGGAAAGCTACCAAGGGAACTAATGTCTGAAAACAAAACCCTCCAACTGTTAGTGTCCCAGTGGGCCAAACCACTGGTATGTGTTTAAGACAATAACTAACAGAAAATGGAGCCATGATTCCTTGAGGAGAGCCATGTTATCTGTTTTCAGAAGGACCTGGTGTTTAAAGAACTTGTTTCTCAATGACAGCAGAAGAAGCCAAATAGGATTTTTTTTCAATCTCTGAGACAGAGAGAGAGATTTTATGCCAGTCTGAATGCTTGGGTCTAGCTCCTCTCTTGGGATGGATGGAGGAGACAGTACACTAGAATCTTCGTAGTGATATTCCATGCATATAATGGGTTTATTATCTCACCAGTATTAGTTAATGCTTAGAAAATTTTATCAAAGTAGTGAGGCTCTTGAAGGAACTATGCATTGGGCTTGATTTTAACCCCTTGGAGTAGGTATCACACTTTCTAGCTTTAGCCAAGGATGCATTCCTAATTCCTAGGCATTTCAGTAAGGCATGTGCTTTTCCTCCTTTCACCTTTCTATGTAAATAGAGGTAAGTCTGTTTCAAAGGACATGCACAGGGTCTCCCATTGCCCCCACTTTGTCTCAGAAAGTGGTGAACTATCTTTGATCTGTTAAGCTCAAAGCTCTCTTGAGTCTTTTTTACATTGTCTATAGGGCAGAGAAAAGGGAGATTTTGTGGAGGAATTGTGGAACACAGCTACCTGGCTGTCTCTCCGCTCTTTCTACAAACATCATAGATGTGATGTAATTCCATTGTTGGATGTGTCCTTTTGCACTTGGTGATTCACAGAGACTAATTGCTTTTGTTGGATGGGATGGGATGCCCCTGACCATGTGTTCTCAACTGCTATTTTCTTGGGGAAATGGTCTCCCTATGTTGTCTCCCTGGCTACAGTCCTTTTTTGTCTTCTCTTCTCTGCAAAATGTCTATGAGGAATCCTTACCACTGGTGGCAAGCCATGGTTCAAAACCAAGAATTTCTTACCTACTAATTATTTTCTGGGCTCTGGCTTCTACTCAAACCTTAGTTCAGTCAAATAGTTCCATAGGTTTCATTGTCTTGTTAGTTAAAATCGAGATTTTAGCTTTGGAAGTTTTCAAGCCTTAGGGAGAGAGAACGAGACAGCGTTTAGCTGGCTGACAGACATGAAAATTAGAGCTTTTCATTGGCTGCTACTAACCTGAAATCTGCATAAGGAGGAGCTACCCATTGATCAGCACTGGTGGAAACTAGAGCATAAAAGTATTTAGTAAGTGAGAAATTCTCCTTTCACAGAGACTGCAGAAAGTTAGTAAAGTAATCTGGAGGTTTTAGAAAAAGTGTTTTAGGAACTAAGTGGTTACAAATTTTTGAAGATTTATAGACATGTTAACAATAATGCATAAACTCAGTCTAGAAGTAGTCACAGAAGCCATTTAGGGAGCATTGCAATTATTTCTTTTCATAGCTCTGCCATTTGGCTAAGAATAGAGATACAATGAAATCTTCCACTATATTGTCACTCTGTAACATTGGATCAGACATAGGAGAAATATTAACAAAATTTTGAGAAAGTGTAGTAGGTGAGCAGTTTTATCTCAAATCACATCTTGGTAATTAAAATAATATTTGTTTCAGATTCAACTAACTCTGGAGACAACATGTACACTTTAATGAATGCAGTACCACCTGGACCCAACAGATCTAATGTAAATATGAACCTATCATGTATTTTTCTGCACTGTGAAGCCCTGTTTGATTCATGCACTGATTCACCAGACCTTCATTTTATCTGAATCATGCTTATCTTTCCCATTTTGAGTGGGTACACATCACTTGCTTCCCATCATCAAAACTCATATTTTTCTGCATCTTTAATGTCTCTGAAATATTTCAAATGAGTCTTGTGGTACATACACAACAATCCTTTAGCACCTTGAATACCTTGAAATTTGTGCATGTAAAAACTTTAAGCATGTAAATCTGTTAGGTAGATAACTAAATTTGTCATCCTGGGGTATGCTGTTCTCGTCACAGTAGTACACCCTATCAGCTACCATTAGTATGTGCAGAACTTAAACTTTAATTACAAAAATATATTTCTACTTAATAATGCAAGGAAAACTTCTGAATGTGACCCAGTCAATTATTTATTACCAATTCTATAGATGGATAAAATCAATAGCTTTCTCAAGGGTGAGATCTGCCTTGTTCATTTGAGTAGTGTTAAATATGAAGCTTAATGACAACCATTAAATATTAACTATGATACCACTGATTATTTTAGGCAAAACATCCAGCCATTCTGGAAGTGATGAAAACTTGGATTTTTAGAAAGAACTTCCTTCTCTTTCTAACCCTTATAGTTGCCCTCAATTTAGACGGCATTTATGCATGCAGACCACGTAGTTAGAGGTCCATTTGAAAAAAGGCCACAAGAACTTAAGTAATGGTTTAATTGTAGTGCATTTATTGAAATTCATTGCATGTTTATCTAGAAGTGCTGTAAATATCTGTGTTCTCAATTTGAAGACCCAGGTTTAATGATAAACTGTGAAATCCAAATGCTGAACTGGCAGAACTTTATATTGTTGCAGTGGTAATGCGCTGTAGTCTGCTGTGATGCTCAGCACAGGTAGTATGGGATTTCCAAAAGTGGACTATGCTGGCCTAACTCTGCTCTCATTGAAGTCAATAGTGAAACTCCCATTAACTTCAACAGGAGAAGATTTTAGTAATCACTGAGCACTTTTGAAAGTCCCAACCGTAGTACTTCAGTAGGACATAAGCGGTACATAGGCTAAGGGCTAACTCTCTGCACAGACATGAATTCTCCAGCAGTGCAGAACACGGTAACTGAGGTAAAGGCTGGAAAAAATGAAGTGAAAACAATGTAAATGAAAATCACATACAAATAATCCACTCAGAGATAGACTATACAATTCAGTTTCTCAGTTTCTATTTTTGTGCTTATTACTGTGTTTTTATTAAATTATCTGCAATATATTCATTCATTAATATCAATTTTAATATATTATCATAATCCTTTTACAGTTTCCAATGGGCCCAGGGTCAGATGGACCTATGGGTGGATTGGGTGGAATGGAATCACATCATATGAATGGATCTTTAGGTAAGGATAACAAATCTAGTAAATACTGATTTTAGAACTGTTTTTTATGAGTAACTCCACAATAACCACAGCTCTAAATTGTGTGGGCAATTGTATATAAAATCATTTGAAAATTAGAAATACTGTATCAACATCAATCAGAAGTTCAAAAATGTTTTATGTAATCTTATGTATCTGGTCTAATAAGGTGTCGCTTATAAATATTGTATATTAACAGAATATAATTTTTAAACCTGTTCTATAGTACACTATGTTAAACTAATGTGGAAGATGACAAAAGCTTTCTCCTCCTCCCTATTTCCCCAGTCCCCCACAAAAACACAAGTAATCAGAAGATGTCTTTATCACAAATTGATGCAGATACTTACATATTTGTATATTTATATATCATATAAATAATATATGGAGACAATATACCACATCTATTGATATCTATGTATTAAATTGTGAAACTAAATGATAAATTATATTGATCGTGCAGTTTTAACTGTCTCACTTGCACTCTACCCATTCATCCATCCTCCCAAGCATTACTTTTAATAGCTCATCCCCATGAAACAGCTTCAAATAGCTTCTGTTTTTCATCAGCCTGCCAGAGAAATGTTTGAAATGTTTTCTTCTTTCTCCCCAAATGTGAACTCTCCTGCAAAATTACACCTGACATTACAGATATGATATTTTTATGTATAGAAAAGCCATATTAGGTAACTTTTAGAGTTCATTTAATATTTATTAGCTATATTTTTCTTTTTATAATATCGGTCTGGCCCAATGAACACATTATAAAAGCTATGCAGGTAAGAAGTGAAGAAGAAATGGAAACAGTGTAGATTGCAGGGCATTGCAGGCTGCAGACATGGAAATCCTACAAAGCTCCAAAGCTGTTCAGTCATTAAGAGGTCTGAGGAGCCACGGACTCTGTGTAGATTATAATTTCTGAAAAGTAGTGATATCTGGGGAAGCCTTGTAGAATTATACAAAATTTGCAGTTGTTCAACCCTGACCCTTCCTCACAGACTTTCTGTCCTGCACTTCAGGTTATGCCAGAAGAAGTTAGCATAGTTCAGTCCTGAATCTAAACCAGAAACTGAAGATTGTTAGACAAGATGCATGGAAGAATGAGGAGAGTGGAGAAAGCTATGGTAAAATGAGAAAATTGGATTTTAAGCTAAGGAAAGAATGCACCAAAACCTCTCTTAGCAGACTGATCCTGAGGAATTAAAATTCAACAATAACAAATTCCCAACAGTCTCTATGGAGCATGTCTCTGAACTTCCTAGATTACTTTGAATAAGGCTATCTTGTGATTTTGCAGCAGACCTTTTATGAATATTTTTTGTAAAATGGCTTCATTTTTTAATTAAAAATAATGCACATTATTTCCAAGTCAATTAAAAACTCTTTTTTGAACTTCATCACAAACTTTTGCTGTAATATATTGTAGCCTGACAATAACTTCTTAGTTATAAGATTAATTACAACTGAAGTGATAGTGGAAGAACTTTATGTGCACTAAGCATATGATTAGTATTTTCATCAGTAAACGTGATTGCATATATTCAGTGTTTAGCAAATTAAGTATGACAGATTTTCTACTATAGTTTTTTTAATATACAACAATAGTTCTTTTAGAGACTCTTGGAAGGCTACAGTGCACTAAAAATTGTGGTTATTTTTTCCATCAGGAGCATTAGCTGTCTATAGATATGTTTACAATTTCCTCTAGTTACAACAGTTAATATTGGGTTGCTACTTAGGCACTGTCATAGGAGAGGAGCAATGCAGAGCTGCACCTCCCAGGGGAGCTCCTTGAGCTTCCCAGTGTATAAGGGTAGTGTACAGGCTGCCCCCTCCTAAAGAATGCCAATGCAGAACACTGTAGAGTCCGATGCTGTGACCTGTCTTCCTCCCTACCACTTTGCAGTGAGGTATATACCTGGGGCCACACAGAGAAAGCAGTGCCTGCCTTGCCCCGGAGCACAGGGACTGTGATTGCTTTTGGCAGAGAGGAGGCATCTTTCCACACAAACTGCAGGCACAACCATGCAACAAGACCCTAATGCTAACAGACTACTATAATGACTGAAGAATTTTCCTGAGTGGGAAGGGAAGAACTCAAACATAACTAACTCTATGTTAGCCCATTGCTGTTATACTATCTTTTCAAAGTGCAGAAAATGATAAACTCTTAGAGAATGCAGTTCAAAACTAATCTAAATGATTATTTATTTATTTATTTATTTTAATTTAAGGCTCAGGAGACATGGACAGTATTTCCAAAGTGAGTATGTAATAAAATATATTTAATTTTAGCATTATATTTTACTGTATTTAAATATCACGTAATTTTGGTTGTTAAAATTTTTTTTTTACATTTCTGATTGCAAATTAAATGTGTATTATGGGCCTTTCAGCTCTTTCAGGCAGAATCAGCATTAGTTGGAAGGTTAAAAGTAATCTTTATAGTCAATAGGGACTATTAAACCGATTCATTTATATATTTTCCTGAACATAATAATGGTCATTACTGCATGTGATTAATGTACATCCAAGTCATAAACTAATTAATTATGTTACATTGTTGCATATTGGTAAAACAAATGAATACAGTTTTAATAATCAAACTTAGTTAAATGTGGGAAGAGAGAAATTTGGAGATTTGTCATAAGGATATTATTTTTATGCATTGTATCATAGCTTTTCTCACCTTTAGAAGACAATGCTAATAGCCTTAATCAGCACTCCAATTCCCTAAAAACTAAATTAAAATAATGAGAGAAGAAACTGTATTTTGAGCATAGAAACAGTTTATCAGTATATGAAATATGAATGTTCAACCATTAGTGGTTGGCACCTACAAAAATAATACTGTATTTGAATGCACAATATTTTCTGTAAAAATTTGCTAACTCTGAGGTTATTAATTTAAGGGTTGATTTAAATGAGGAATCGATGAGTGAAGGTATTAGAATTAGACCCATATAAAATATTCTGTGCTGCTTCTTCAACATGTACAGATATAACTGGTTAAAAACTAACCATTCTGCACTTTTGTGTTTTTGATCTATAAAGATAGAAATTAATTAAATAATTGTTTCATTCCAAATTTTATGACTGTTTTTATTCATTTGAAATGCTAGAATGAAATTCTCAGCCATCTCCCAAAAGAATGAAATGAGTTTCTTTTGAGAAACCTACATGTTTTAGATTGAGATTTTGAGCTCACTAAATATAGTTTTAGGATATGATTTCAAGATATGGTGTCATTATTCTGTCATGAAAATTCTAGCTTTTCCTTGTAGCAGAGCATCAGAAGATGATGCAGCAATCTGTGATATCTGTCCAAGAGGCCCAGAGCTATGTAAAAAGTGTTTGCAGTGAAACCTGAAAGCATGCATAACTCACCTGGTTTCATTACAAACTCAAAACCCTGAGCTGTTTCATCAAAAGGTTCACTCTTGTTCATGAACCTTTTGAGTGAGTTTGGGCCAATTTATTACTTTAACTAAGTCCCATGGAATTTACAGTATGATGCAAAATTAGATGACATCTGGTGGTTTTAACTTAAATGTCACTGAGACAAGCAAGTTTCCATATTACAGATGTTATCACAGAAATTGTTTGTGGAAATTAAGTGTGCAGTTGCACACATTTTTGCATTTGTTGCTAGTTCCTCAAGCCCAGTTGAGTTCTGCTTGACACAAGACCTGAATGGAATAAAAAAGCATCTTAGTGAGGCTGATCATCTTGTGCATGAGGTTTAGAAAATTAGCCCAGACTTGCTAGAATACATTTTACATCAGATCAGTTCATTGTTACAGTGTGTAGAAAAGGTTATAATTGACTGACTGAGTGGCAAAGTATAAAGCGTTTATGAGGTGGAGTGAGGTAGAGGAAACAAGAAAACTGAAATTGTGCATATAAGAGAGGCACTAATAACTAGGGCTGTCGATTAATCGCAGTTAACTCACGCGATTAACTCAAAAAAATTAATCACGATTAAAAAATTAATTGTGATTAATCGCACTGTTAAACAATAGAATACCAATTGAAATTTAGTACATATTTTTGGATGTTTTTCTACATTTTCAAATATATTGATTTCTATTACAACACAGAATAAAAGTGTACAGTGCTCACTTTATATTATTATTTTTATTACAAATATTTGTACTGTAAAAATGATAAACAAAAGAAATAGTATTTTTCAATTCAAATCATACAAATACTGTAGTGCAATCTCTTTATTGTGAAATTGTAACTTACAAATGTAGTTTTTTTTGTTACATAACTGCACTCAAAAACAAAACAATTTAAAACTTTAGAGCCTACAAGTCCATTCAGTCCTACTTCTTGTTCAGCCAATCGCTAAGACAAACAAGTTTGTTTACATTTATGGGAGTTACTGCTGCCTGCTTCTTATTTACAATGTCACCTGAAAATGAGAACAGGCTTTCGCATGGTACTTTCGTAGCCGACATTGCAAGGTATTTACGTGCCAGATATGCTAAACATTCGTATGCCCCTTCATGCTTCAGCCACCATTCCAGAGGACATGCCTCCATGCTGATGACGCTTGTTAAAAAAATAATGCATTAATTAAATTTGTGACTGAACACCTTGGGTGAGAATTGTACGTCTCCTGTTCTGTTTTACCTGCATTCTGCCATATATTTCATGTTATAGCAGTCTCGGATGATGACCCAGCACATGTTGTTCGTTTTAAGAACACTTTCACAGCAGATTTGACAAAACGCAAAGAAGGTACCAATGTAAGATTTTTAAAAATAGCTACAGCACTCAACCCAAGGCTTAAGAATCTGAAGTACCGTCCAAAATCTGAGAGGGACGAGGTGTGGAGCATGCTTTCAGAAGTCTTAAAAGAGCAACACTCCGATGCGGAAACTACGGAACCTGAACCACCAAAAAAGAAAATCAACCTTCTGCTGGTGGCATCTGATTCAGATGAGATTGTTATCAAGCAGAACCCATCATCAGCATGGATGCATGTCCCCTGGAATGGTGGTTGAAGCATGAAGGGACATATGAATCTTTAGCGCATCTGGCACATAAATATCTTGCGACGCCGGCTACAACAGTGCCATGCGAACACCTGTTCTCACTTTCAGGTGACATTGTAAACAAGAAGTGGGCAGCATTATCTCCTGCAAATTGTAACCAAACTTGTTTATCTGAGCGATTGGCTGACATAGGACTGAAGTAGGACTTCTAGGCGCGAAAGTTTTACATTGTTTTATTTTTGAATGCCGTTTTTTTTTATATATAATTCTACATTTGCAAGTTCAACTTTCATGATAAAGAGATTGCACTACAATACCTGTGTTAGGTGAATTGAAAAATACTATTTCTTTTGTTTTTTACAGTGCAAATATTTGTAATAAAAAATAAATATAAAGTGAGCAATGTACAGTTTGTATTCTATTATATTTGAAATCAATATATTTGAAAATGTAGAAAACATCCAAAAATATTTAAATAAATGGTATTCTATTATTGTTTAACAGTGCGATTAATCACGATTAATTTTTTTAATTGCTTGACAGCCCTACTAATAACCAAAACTTCTTGAATTACCAATGGAATTTGTGCAGTCATCAAAGAAAAACTTGCTTTGGAGGCTTTGCTCATGCAGCAGCACTAGGCCCCATACTGGCCACCAAAGCAGCCCAGCAAGAGTTGGTATGAAAGCATTTATGTCAGGAATTTGAATCTTTGGGGCAGGCATACTGTAGTGAATGCAAAATTTCAAAGTTCAGTGCTACACAGGGAAAAACAGAAAGATAAAATAGGGGTAGATCTCTAAGGAACAAACAAAAGTGCTGAAAGATCACATAAAATAAATTTTACAACGGTTTAGCTGCTTTTTAACTTTTTATACCTAACGCTACAGCAGCTTACATATTATGGAGTCACTGGTCATGACTCCACAGTTAACGTTGATTCAGAAATTTAAAACCTTCATTTGAATAAATAAAATGGAAAAAACCCAAACACAGAAAGTAAACTTTAAACAATAATTTATTTTTTCCTGGTTGTCTGATGAAAATTGGTTTGATACAGAAAGAATAGTAAGTAGCAAAATTACCAATTTTTATAATTTTGGGGGGGTTGTTTCACCACCTTTTGGTCACCTATTGCAAAAAAAACTAAAACACTCTGAGATCTGTGACTTGCACCAAATGCTGCTCCTCATGTGCTGATAAATACAGTATCAGTTATACCTAGGTGATGTTTGTATCATGATTTTAAAATGTTTCTTCATAATGGGAAACAAACATGCCACTCTTATCCCACCATATTTGGCCTTACCCAGCTACTTAAGGTAAAATTCTGACTCTGCGGGAGTTGGGGGCAAACATTTAACAGCAACCTCAGCAATGTTAAGGCAGAATAACTTCCTACGGGTATGTCTACACTACGAGAGTAGTTCGATTTTACTTAAATCGAATTAGTGGAACCGATACTACAAAGTCGAATGTCTGTATCCACACTAAGAACAGTAATTCGACTTTGTGAGTCCACACTAACGGGGCAAGCGTCGACATTGGAAGCGGTGCACTGTGGGCAGCTATCCCACAGTTCCCGCAGTCCCCGCTGCCCATTGGAATTCTGGGTCGAGCCCCCAATGCCTGCTGGGGAAAAAATGTGTCGAGGGTGGTTTTGGGTAACTGTCGTCATTCAACCGTCACTCCCGCCCTCCCTCCCTGAAAGCGCCGGCGGGCAATCAGTTCGCGCACTTTTCTGGTGAGTGACAGCGCGGACGCCACAGCACTGCGAGCATGGAGCCCGCTGTGACCATCACTGCAGTTATGGCCGTTGTCAACACCTCGCACCTTATCATCCACCTTTTTCAGAGGCAGATGCTGAGAAATCGAGCGAGGAGGCTACGGCAGCGCGGTGAGGACATTAAGTCTGAGAGGGGCACAGACCTCTCGCAAAGCACGGGACCCCGCGCCATGGATATCATGGTGGCAGTGGGTCATGATGATGCTGTGGAACGGCGATTCTGGGCCCGGGAAACAAGCACGGACTGGTGGGACCGCATAGTGCTGCAGGTCTGGGATGAATCACAGTGGCTGCGAAACTTTCGCATGCGTAAGGGAACTTTCCTTGAACTTTGTGAGTTGCTGTCCCCTGCCCTGAAGCGCAAGGACACCCGGATGCGAGCAGCCCTGACTGTCCAGAAGCGAGTAGCCATAGCCCTCTGGAAGCTTGCAATGCCAGACAGCTACCAGTCAGTCGCAAACCACTTTGGCGTGG